CTCTCTCTCTCTCTCTCTCTCTCTCTCCTTCGCGACCCTCACCAGTAAGAGACTAAGAGAGGGAGATTCCATTCAGGACTAATGGGGTTAAACGCCTTCGCCATCCGCCGAATGTCCCGGCGTGGCGCGGCAACGCCATCGCCCACCATCCCCTATCTCGGCGTCCAACCAACCCTTAGAGTATCGGACACGCGGACGACGTTTCATACCCTCTTAACGCATGGCGTGGAAGCATCCCTTTTTGAATTTTCTATCCTTTGACAGGATATTGGAACCTTTTTTTTTCAACCCTTAGCCACGTACATGTTACATCTAGTACTGTACTGTATTTGGTTACTGTATTACGCAGTTGACACTTGACAGTTGACACGCAATTGATGCTGTGGTACAGTCGGGAACGAAGAAGCAATCATTTTTTTTCTCTTGCGCTTAACCTTAGATAATTCATTATCTGTGTTATCAGTGTACAGAGTGATCTGTAATTTTATACTTTATTATCCTATCTTCGAATCCTACAGAATCTCTCTGCTGCTCATCACTCGAGACACTTTTACATATTTGACGCCGATGGATGCTGTGGTACAGAGTGAAATATTCCGAAAAATATTTTTTCATCACACCCTTAATTTTGTCTGGTACTATCATTATTTTTTGTTACATACGGTGGTCACTGACGTTTTATTTTTTTCCCTGTTTCCAAAGGAATCCGATATCCTTAGGAATTCCACGGCTATTCGGCAGCCATCGAGAACCGCATTAACTTTTATGCTCTTTATGCGATCCTATACGTACCGGATGGGGTCCGGGCCCATACGGCTTTTATCATAATCGACCGTGATATGGTCCGTCGTAATCGAATGCCGGATTGGAAAATGATATACGGTATTGGAGCAATGACTGAGATGAAAGAAATGATATACCTATATATATTATGTCTATTATAATACACACACACATTCACGTCTATCACCATCGGAGTCATATACTCGTTCGTATCTGACACATGTATTTTACATTACGTGGGGAATTCTATTGCCTACCTAAAGAGAGTTTAATCTCGATATATCATACGGGTATATAACTTTATTCCGTAATAAATAAATTAAAATATGTATATATTTGTATAAAAAATATGACTCACCCTTGTGCGCCATATCGTCAGCCGTGACGGAGGCTAGGAGGCCGGTGGCGCCCGGCCATGGAGCGACCGCTGCGCCCAACTGCTGCGAAGGCAAAATCTTCAGGCCTTTCGACACTTCCGGTCACTGAAAAAAAATCAATCAATATATAAAGTATTGATATATCCTATTATCGATTGGATACTGTCATTAAAATTGTATATATATATATATATCTCACTGACTCAAACGCGTTACGACCGTGCCGTAAGACTGCCTAACGCTTTTTAAACGACCAATTTTTTTTCATTGAAAATAAGAAAACAGAATATTGCCTTATACACATACCAAATGCTAGGTGTCTAAAACGATTTAACATTGTAATAGCGACATCCTCTCTCCGGTATTCACAGATAATGACACCACGTGTGCGCGACTCTTACACCTGTGTCAATTTCATAGGAATACAGAGCGGTACAGGTGCGACTGATAAATCGGTCAGCGAGTCATTAGCGGAGTAAGCCAATTCAAAAAAAAAAAAACATTTCAAAAGTTTGTTTCGCGTATAAATAATAAAAATTTAATTTGCGAAAAGTTGCCTTGACAAAACAATGTAGGAGTGTTGAAAAAATTTTGTTTACATATTAAAAAAATCTTCCCACTCATTACGTATATTGATAAAAGATTTTGATATTAATAAAAAAATTGTTATCAATGAAAATAATTGTTGGGTAAACTTTGCGAAGATGTAGCGTCTATTTTTTTTACATATCGTTTCCTTCCGTTCCGATTGATCCAGTCGAGTAAATTAAGGCGATAGATCCACGAGGAGTTCCGTCGCGACGCTCATAACCAAACGATACGTCGATGTCGTGCAACAGCGTCGCTCGTTGAAAACCGCAACATCGAAGGCCGTGAAGTGTCGCAATTACCTTGCCTGGCTCTTGGGAAGATGCAAACTACTAGCGAATGTAACGCCCTCCAGTGCCTACAGGCAGCCAGAGCCGCGGTACACCCTACAGGAGAAGTGGGGTACTAAGTGCGATAATTAGTGCCCGAAGGGAGGTCTACTACGCGCTGTTGATATATACAGGGTGTTTCGTGAAAAAAAAAAATAATAAAATTCAAAATACGCTGCACGGCATTTTCACTCGCGTTACGTCGCACCGGGTAAAATAAATTTGTCGTCTTCGCACGATAAAGTCAACACAAAAACCAGCCTTGTTAGCAGACGCTATATGTACAGCGATACGGCTGTAAGACATAGACTCTAAAAAATATATAGACTTGGCACTTTTCACGGTTGTTATACCACGGCGCCATCTCTGTATATTCGCCACGTTCTGTAGCGTCGCGTATTGTGCAAGAGGATTATTGCGGATTATGCTTGACTGGGTGCAAACAAGATTTTCACTAGCTTGTGTCAGCAAGAGAGCAAGCTGTCGATTTATATTTCCTCGGGTGTCACTTGATAAGCGTACAAGAAATCTGGACAAATTTTGTCAGATCCATGTACGACACCGATAATGATAAATTGATTGGATAAAATAAGCAATTAATGAGAAAACGGAATATTAACCTCATTACAGGAATAAATAAAATAATATTTCAAGCAGACAATTCTCGACAAAAAAGAGTGAAGAAAATGAAAATGTAGTAAAAATTACATTTTTTTTACTACTCTGTCTACCACTCTAAGTGAATAAAATCGATTTCCCTTCTTAGGCCAAATTTCCGTACCGAGGCACATGGTAGATCGTTCCTATACGTAACGATAAAGCTACAAGGGGGACCCCCTTTCGAATGAACTCAAGATTACCTCAGGTCTACCTGCATTTAAGCGACAGCTACACAAATATCTATTTTAAAGAGACACTATCCGATTACTGCTGGGTAAACGTAACAATTACACGTGAGGAATGACAAACTTGGAGGATATGCTTAAATGACAACGATTAGACTGTGAGTCGACTGTCTTCCTCTTCATATCTTCTGTCCTCGTTGTTCATATCTGCTGATTAGAAGAATCTCCACAGTTTGGGTATCCTGATAGGAAGAGACAATTGGACCAGGTAGAACGTAAGCAAATGTAACTCGAAATTGTGAAACTGAAAGAAAAGCGAAATGTACGGAATGTACATATACGAAGATGCCATTTGGCTCGCGGAGTCTTGGCAGATAAACGTAATCGATTAATCAATCGATCAATCACCCACGTGAATTACTGTCTCTATGAACTGGCTGCATTTCGGGTATCAAACTTGTTATTTTGACGTTCTAGAAGCAATGCATAAAGAAATAAGGGGGTGCCATGGTAATAGTATATTAGGAATCGTAAAACTTTTTCAGCAACCTGTACCACACGTTGAATCCACGCTTGAGGCGAATACGCAGCAAGAAAGAAAAAAAATGGGATTGGGTGATAAAAAAAGGGGTAATTTTGTTTTGACCAAATGCATACTTAATTAACGCCAGGCGGTTGGTAATGGCGTCAAAGTTATTATACAAGCCGGGTTGTTTACAACAAAGATCCCTGTGGACAAATAGATGTAGACAGTTGGCAGTACTGGATTCGTCGCTGCTGCTATCGTCGCTATCGCCGTTACTTTAGCGATTCCGAAACGAGACCATTAACTGCATTTCACCGGAAATCTAAAGGATAACACGGATATGGAAGCCATTACCACCGCAATACACAATGCAGTAGGGACCGCGACGGTTCGTCGTTGAAAATTAAATTGAACGGGTCCCGCGCGCGAATATCGCAGCCTTGTAAATTCGCACTGAGCCTCAAGAGCCGAGAATCCGTCCCTACGTGCAGCGACACCCTTAAAAAAGAAAAAAAAGACTCAACCTCTCTATACTTAACCCAACTCCATGTTCACACAGCGGGTTGGCGTATCTCTCTAATTATGAAAATGCGACCCGCGGTCGCCACGTGGGGATGCGCACGAACAATGGGTCGACGGCTAATTCCAAAAGAAAAGCTCATTTCACATGGTCGTTGTGCACATAAAGATTCAGACCAGCGGCTGACTACGGTTGTTTGTCGCCGGAACGACGCGATTCTCGCCAACAAAATTTACTATGCGTGCACGGTGTAATTTTCAATATTCAGAAATTTCTTGTACCTCGACCAAAAAAACATAGTACCAATCAGGCAACCTAAAAAAATCACACCACGACCCATCTATGTACTCCAAAAAAATACTTCAAACCGCGGACCTGACGTAACCCTCCAAAAAAAAAAGCAAAATCCTCTAAATTACAAACCCCAAAAATTACCTATCGTGAGCCTCCTTATCACCGTGTCAAAAAATATTCCAAATTTGACAAACCATTAAATTCATACGCAACGTTAACAGTACCATCCAAAAGTACCTTACAATCGAGTAAGAGCTTGCTGCGTACGAGTAAAAATCTAAAGGGACCCAATGCGTCGGATCTCCATGGGGCGTCCAACACTTGTGCTGCAAACCATTCACCATAGTTCCCTGCATGTTCCAATGGTATAATAAATACAGAACGCTGCCTCTGGCATTGAGTAAGATTTTACAGGGCGAATCATAGTCTATTGCCTAATTACGGCATAATAACGTGGAGTAGGTGTGGGATAGAGCGTAGTGCGTTCAATGGAGAGAGGCAAGGGAAACGAGAGAGCGAGATAATAACCGAAGGAGAATGTTGGCGATGAAGAGAGAGAGAGAGAGAGAGTGAAGAGAAATACGGATGGGAGAGCACTATTCAATCACAGGCAGCATTCGAAGTGTAGGGGTGTATTGTTCGGTAAGCTGCATTAAATCCTTACCTATATATATACACACATATAATACGCCTTTGTATATATATATACATATATATATATATACACACAAACAGCCATGGATATTAAGCCAGTACAGAAAGAAACAAACCGAGCCGTGTTTGTTTAGCCGATTCCGCAAGGTGTTAATATCGCGTGTTTAATTTGCATCATTCCCTCAACTAACACCCTTAAGTTGCGATTGGACGAGGCCTCCCTTTGAACATTGATAAAAATGATCCGCTTACAGCGCATAGAACGGGCGTTTAAATTGCGCGCGGCTGGATTGGCTGGTATAAATCTGTCAATGGCTACACGCTGGTGAAAGGGTTGTTATTGTAATTATTGCTTCAAAGGAAGTTTTCTATGTCATCAATTGCCACCTCCGCGTTACGTTTCGCCCTTTCGTGTTAGCTATACCTATATTTTTCTTTTTATCCTTGTCCCGGTATCTGCATTATATGTATACCCTGACTCGTTAAGGATTCAATTTAATTGGAGCTGATAACTCGAGTGTCGTATGTGGCAACGATCGCCCGTGCATTACTGATAATGGAAATTATTGCAATTTAATTAAGCTGCCATTTGCAAGTAGAATTTTTAATTAGCGAATTATTCTCGGTAATCAATCTACTGGGTGATCGAGAATTTGATTATTAATTTATTTACTATTGGAGGGGGGCAACTTTGTATACCGCGCTTGGATTTTTATTTGATTTATTTAATTAAGAGTTGGTTAACAAGATAATTAAGGGTGAATTAATATTATATACATATATATATATATGTCTAATGAGTAATAAGTAGGGTAAGTAAAAATGACTTTGTGTCTATTGGAATCTTTGATTTTGTTTATCCAATTAGTGGGTACACTTAATTAATAGTGAATCGATGTTCTACATAGTTTAGTAAAGTTGTTTATATATGTATGTATATATATTGGAGTAGGTAGTAAATAGTAATAGCCACGTGACGTACCAATTGCTCCCGACGGCCGACGGCTAAGCTCCTTTTCCACTGGCAATTAAAACAACACTGAACAAGGATCCTCGTCACAGAACAAACAAAATCACAGTCCTATTCTATATATGTATTAGTTACAGTCTCACACACGCAAGGATCAAAACCGAACTTGATCCTCGGAATTTGAAAAAAAAAAATAACAGACACCGTATTAGATCATAAGAATCCTTACGGACCTTCGGCCTTCCGTATCCTTATTGCACTTTGTAAAAACGACCCTGTATCAGATGCCCCGTTGATATCGAGTCCCTAAAATTTCGTTCAATGTTCGCCTGTAAGCAGAAGACGAAGGAAATTCCCGCGTATAGTCTCTCTCTCTCTTTTTGAAATTTTTTTTCAAAATTGTCTCTCTCCCGTATCGGTAGCTTCAAACGACCGGTGCTTTTCGCTGCGTGATTGACAAATTTCACCGTTCTCCGTGTTATGTCACAAGGTCCTGAGGTCTTTTTTTTTCGTTCGCCCTCCCGCAATTCCCATACAGTGTTTGACAGCTTGTCTGTTGGGGTCTAGACTGGTCCACGTATTTATTTAATCAAGGGATGATTCGCGGACCCGTGAAAAAAAAAATATAAGTCCGTGGCGATTGCGTGCTGCTCGGTATGAGGACGCGTGGCGTTTTGGCACGTTTAGGTAAATCCAACAGCTACTGTGCTGCCTGGGATGCTGGAGAGGTTGGACACGCATAGAGAGACTGGGGTTGCTGGCATGCAGGATCTTGCGATCACCCTGTGTCCCGACCACTCTCGTTGGATGCTACGAGTGATTCTGGGTAGTGGGGTGGGGTGTAGAACCGGTTGGCCAATCAGAGGGTGACTTGGCCATCCCCACCACCGTAACGTGCCGCATGGTGGGGAGGCAAGCTCCGCGTCGTGACATCATCGATTCTGAATGGTGGAAATGCTCAACGGAGCGGAAGGCCCATTTGGGGGCGCTACCGAGATAGATTCTGCGCATGCGCCACGAATTTAGGGGTTGTTTCCTGAAACTGCCGCAAATTACCGACAGAGGGAGACCGTCAGCCGTCGCGTGAGGGTGCCGACGAATGACGGGATGAAATGACTAAAGACGATCTAGCAATTTTTTTTGGAAATTTTCAAAAATTTTATTTTTCGAATTGCTGCTGGAATTTTCAAATTTAATACTTGCTCATTTTTAGGGTTTTTGTATATATAGCGGGTTATGTCAAGATAGTTTTTTACTAAATTCATGAATGGGGTAACTTTTCTTTTTGAAAATATTATCTCTTCTTTTTTAAACTCAAATGTTGGTTGCTACTATAGTAGCAACCCTATAGGGTTGAGATTAATCTTTGCTTCCTTTGTCGTGTTCGCATTGGGTATGGGGGGGGGGGAGGACATTTTCAAGTTTTCGATTTAGGGATGAAATCGCGAGGGTCGCTGATTAAAACTAGTCTCAGGGCAGAAAGGGCGAGGGGGGTCGCCCTGCCTAGGAACATGGCGAAGGAATTTTTTTATTTGTGAAAATTCGCCCGAGCGTCTCCTTCACTGGATATTAAAATATAATTGGCGTTTGTCCTCTTTGTGCAAAATGGTATCTAGTCACGCGAAGGGTGACACTGGGTGTTATGTACGCCAGAGTGCGCCACGGGTGAGTCACCCTTCGCGATTTTCCCTTACTACGGGGGTAGTTGCATCCCCTTGTCACTTGTGCGTGGCTCTACGCTCTCCCTCACGCATATCCTAAGTCAGTTTCACGCAGCATCCCTCATTGTTCCCGGAACCACCCCTAATAAAGTCGTAGCATCTCGGGGAGCATTTAAAAATATTAGAAAAAAATCATAACTTAGAAAAAAAAATTATTCATCCTATTTTTATGAATATTCAATATACATGTATACGCTCCGAAAAGATTTCAAAATTTCCCAAAAATATTACACCCCCACTTTTTAGATCGCTTGCGTACTCGTATTCAACTGTATATATATATATTTCGTTAATATAAAAAAAAGTGACGTTTACACGTGCTCGGCGGTCGTTTCGACTGGATTAGGTACTTACTTTATTCCGAGTCTCGAAGTCGCAATGTAAACCCGGCTTTAGGAGATCCACGCGGTGGAAGTAACGCGTTTCGATTTTACGTTAGCCCAGCTACGCGTGAATCAGCCAAGGTCAAGTTGTTCCCTTACTTCCAAGTATTCGCATACCGTTTAGATATTAATTATTAAATCGATAAAGATCGATATCGATCACTCATTAACAGATGCCAATATAACACGTAGCCTTATGCACTATTCTGCAATGAAATCCGAGATAGTAACATTACAAGATACATCTATACATCTATTATCATTACTTATATCAGCCGATATTTAACGTATACTAATTAACTCTATTATCATTATTATTGAAAATATACCATCGCGCACGGAAGCAGTGAAAACTGTGTGAAATAAATAAAATAAAAAAGAATGTGAGTCAAAAAAATGTATTAAAAAAAATTCAACCAAAATTTCTTTACCGTATAGAATAAACAAAATTTAGATATGTATGCAAGGCCTGAACTTTTAAGCCTCTTTTATTGATTATCGTAATGGAAAATTATGTTAATCAATCTTAAGTTTAATACGATTAATACGTTTATCAGCCATAGTTTAATGTAGCAGAATAATAAATTTTTCTTATTTCCTCTCTATCTCCCACGCGCTGTGCAGACACCGAACAATGCAGTGTTCACGCAGCGGCGGGATTTTCGAAATGATCGACTTAAAGGTTGCGTCACAATGGTCGTTACCCTCCGTTGACGACTTATAGCCCGACAAGGTCTGTTCTTTAATTATTCTATCGACACTTGAACATACACGGCACACGGGAAGATCAACAAGTGCGGTTGGGATAGTTGCGCAAAAATGTATCAATATTTACAAGAGTTTGTTCCACTTCCCGCCGTGAAAGCGAAGCACGGCGCGAGAGGAGAATGGAAAAATTTTTTATTGAAAACACAACGTAATTTACTTCAATAATCATGCCACGACAAAGCTGTAGTAGAATTTATGATTGTTTTTGGAAAACACCGTAACAAGGTCAGAGCTTGTTAATTTTAATACGGAAAAATTACAAGTTGGATTATTAGGCCGATATGTACAGTGATAATAAGGATATGTTATTTTTCGCTTTATATATAGAAAAGAAAAAGAGGGTAGATATAATTCAATGGTAATGCAAAGAGGTACGATGGGATTCGAAGTATAGGATTTAAATGCATTTAGACATTTTCATCGGTCACAAGACTTTTGGAGACTTCAATAAGGGTAGACAAGGTGGAAACTTAAGCCCTGTACACAGGTGAGAGTCATTCCGCCAGGACAAAACAAATTAACGTTAGAGGTTGCTTGTTTATTATTGGGTGGGGACAGGTTAGCCACTCCCATCTACGTACACGCCAACCAATCAAAAACCGTGCTACCCCCACTACGTTAAAAAACCACCCTCCTTTGCCCCACTATACAGACTGCTTGTGATCCTGTCCGTGACGTCACTTGGGCAGCATGCAACAGGCGGCTTACACGATATCCCTGTCCTACCACTAAGGATTGCCCGGACAACCGGTTTTCATTTTAATTTTATTCAACCTTACGGATACTGGCAACTCTTACCAAGAAGGATCGATATAAATGATCAGCTCGGAAAAAAATAAAGAAATTTATTTTTGAAAAAAAGTCACTGCTCGTATTAAAAGTCAAAGCATAGTTAATCAGATATTACGTAATTTTGTCAATTAAACAATATTTTTTTAAAATTAAAAATCGACACTCGTCAAAATTCGATGCACAAATCTAATGCAGTTTTTATGCAATTCAGTACCGGTAAAGAATGATGAATACCCTTGACAACTGTGCCTGATGAATTCGTGCGGTTGGTAATACCCGGATGGATAGAGACGCGTTAAACGTTAAAGAAAAACCAACAAGAATCAACATAAATGACCATCTCAAAAATATCGAAAAATTTATTTTTCCAAAAAAAAAGTCACTGATCAAAAATGAAAGCATCGATAATTAGATCTTACGTAATTTTGAGTTAAAAAAAATTTTATTAATTAAATACCAATTCTCATCGAAATTCAATGCGTATAATCTACTGCAGTTTTTATGCAATTCGGTACCTGCAAAGATTCGCGAATACCCTTGACAACGGCGTCCGGTGAATCCATGCGGTTGGTAATCCCCAAATGCACAGAGATACGTTAAGCGGGAAACGAAAACCTCAGCAATGCACGAGCATCGTCCTAATGCAGATAATAATAATAAAGCCCGCCCGGGAAAGTGGGGTTACCGTTGACGTGGATCCTGCCTGCAGGATAGTAGACGGTTGTAAATTATAACCAGCAGCAGATAGAGTGAAATTCATGCTCTGATGACGCAGCGTTAACCAGTGGTCATGCGATGATCAAAGGTAGCAGTAGTAATGGCCCGTGAGAGGATATCCGTGTGTATTTCGCCTAATATACTGCAGACTAAATGCTGACGCGATTTTGAGATAGCCATAAATTTCGTCGTGTTATCATGCGAACTAGACGTCATGTGAATTGCGTATAGGGCTTAATAAAACTCAACGTCGTTCCAGCATTGTCCGATGCATATGCGAAGACACGTATATGTATTCTGAGGTATGGTTGGGTGAAAAAAAATGTATTGACCTTGAAAAAATTACGAAAACCATATACATAAATTATGGTTTTCGTCAACGTACGGTTTATTGTCGATTAACAAATTTTTTCATGTATTTCCTCGTATGTAGCGAATTCTTTTCATACGTGGTATACGACTGCTGAAATGTATAATGAAACTCGTGTACCCCATGCTGATGGCATAATGGGGAGAAACTACCCCCGAACACGCGTGCATCGATATAATAACTTTCCTGGTAAACCTGGGTCGGTCAGGTCAAGTGTGCACACACTAATCATGTTTCCTGGTCAGGCGGTGATGTCCTGGGTAAATCTGAACTTTGACTCTACAATGGAAAACGACAGATGCTGTGAAATATCGTCAAGGATTTCTTTTGGGGTGACTCAAAGGACACCTCGGAGGACGCTCTGTCAAACAGGAGTATATTATGCCAGTCAATATTCGAAGAAATTCTATTGGTGTGTAAATGTGAGAAATAATTTTTTTTATGTATGTATGTTTTGAGGTGATTTTTTAATACACGGTCACGAGGCGACTCCAGCTACCGATTCGGATAACGTTCTTGGATTCTGGTTCCCTTTCAGTTGTCATCCTGATCAGAAGCTGCGCTCTCGGGTTGATTCGTACAGTTAGGCCGATGCTCTCGGAAAGATTTGTTATTGTTCAGTCGAGGTCGAGGTGCTCGAATCTGACGTGGAGAAACAGTCACGAGGTACCGAGTTGCCCGGGAGAGGAGCCGACGGTGACGTGTTCACGGACCGGCAGAGGTCCGGCTGAGGTACCGGCGCCCCGCTGGAGAGAGGTCAAAGGGCTGTAAAGCGGCCGGAGCTATAGTTCTGGTACGGTTGATGCCAGGGGAGGAACATCCTGTACTCGATGCCCTGGAGAAGCGGCCGTGGAGGATCTCCAGGAGTTGCGTACCGATTCGCTAAGGAACGCTCTCGATTTAGTTTAAAGGGACGATTCGAGGGAAAGGAAAGTTATCGGGCATAAGGATCTCGACCAATCAGTATGATTAGTTATCGAATTTGACTATTGTCAAAGTCAGTCTGTCTTGGGTCACCGA